ATGTAGTAAAGGTCAAGAAAAGAATGCTCCTAATGATAATAGAAGACACCAAGTGAAGCAGAAGCATTTTATGGATCACCAACCTATCGTATACAGTTCACTTGATCTGTCTTTATGGTCATAAATAGCGAACGCAGACCAGCGGTTGCGTGACCGGTATTCTTTAACACATACAACCCAGCGAGATCATCTGTTCTACACAGTTATAGAAAGGTACCACAGAATTTTTCATGAAAAGTTTATATTATTGCTCCTATTACTCAGAATTGTTGTAGCAAATTTCAGAAAACGTATTTAACACACTGTACTGACCAAGAACGCAAAAATTGCTCCATGCCTGAGTCATTTGTTGTATGACGTGGAATGTCGGCATCCATCAAAATCTTGTGAAGTAGAACTAGGAGATACATGCTACAGGAAGAACAGAATCTGCTAGCAGTAAGTCAGGTTTCACATATAGTCTGTGCCCAGACTTTCAAAAGTAAAGTAAGAAAGCTCACGTTCTATCGCAGACAGCTACTGGGAAGGAAGGCAAGCACAGAAGACAGCACCTGCACTGTTGTTTATAACACCTGTGTAATTGTACAACTCGCTTCAGTCTGTACTGAAAGGCTTTACAGTGTATAACTGATGAGTCGACAGCTTGACAGCCATTCAGGATAGATAATTCACTATTCATTTAGCCGTTTCGCAGAAAAACCTGTTTTTCATATGAGCTGGCACGAGTTGCTGCCGTGTGAATATTCCAGGTGACTTTGCCTCATACCACTAACTCCAGCTCAGTCCAATAAGTGACATCGTTATCATGTACTTTCGAAACTTTCGACACGTCCAATTCCAGGTACAGATTCGCCTCTAGGCCTGCCAGTTTGTCAATCAGAAGGTACTGCGCTTTATACGCAGTTAGTAATCAAATTATCCTTTATTATAATTTTGCGTTATTGACTTTTTGTCTGTTGTTGGAACTGTAGCTGATTTGTTTATTCACGGTTCACGACACCAAACAAAGTCAATAGTTAAAACCTTGTTGCCAACCTGTTTCACTACCACTTCTGTAGCATCATATGCCCTGATGAGGCTGCAAACAAAATTTCTACCCGCATTTCCATTGATTTTATTTCGTGCCCTCAATCATCCATCAGTCAAAAATGCCAGCTACAGTTAAATTGTCATATCTGGTTTATATTTGTATAGAGTATGGACATTAATGATCGCTACGGAAATCGTACGTGCATCAGCAAAGTACTGCCAACCTTTCTCTACAGATCTTTTGAATCAGCTAAGCCAGATTTCGGTCGTCGTTTCGGCACTAAGCTAATCGCAGCTAATTCCTTACTACAGAGTAGCTGTAAAATTTCAAGACACTTCTCTTTGACCGATCGTCATACGTAATATCCTGTCCGTAAAACATAGGATATGACTGCAGCGAGGTAAGTATGCAACAATCCAAGTTGTAGAGAGGCTTTGAAGGTATAGTAAGCCAGCAGAACCTTAAGTGGTTCTGTCCTAATGGCAAAGAAGTGATATATATGTATTGATGTTCAGGTCGAAAGAGATGCACGGGGCTTTTGAAAGACTTTGAAAACAACAACATTAGTTGCCTTCACCGCTCTCAGTTTCGAACGATGTCCAAACTGCTAACTGGTAGAAACGCATTTAATGTCAAAATCACGTTTTTCATTCATTATGGAGATTGTGTTGATAAAAAAGAAGTTTGAGAAGGCGATGTTCGTAGGGAATGAGGTTACTCATTATGACCTCGGAACGGGATTTGTGCTTTAAGTATGAAGACAGCATCGATATATTGTTGTATTGCCGTTGTGCACATTATTCTGTCATGGAAGTGAACATAAGCCGTCAAGTAGCGGTAAGAAATCGGCTGTCGTATAGCAGTTCCCTCGAAAGGCAGTTACAGCAGGTTCCAGACGTCTTCGTTCTTTCCTATATTAGCTGTTTTAGCTGTGGGATTATTCTTACGATGCTGCTCTTGTGTTCAAGCCACTGAGATGGCCTGAAGCAAAACAGAAGGTGTAACGACCTCGTACGTCACGTATTGCTTGTTGAATGAAAGTGAATTGAATGGCTGCTTTACAGCGGATAATGAATAGGCGCTTCGTTGACACAACCAAATCCTGTGTGATTTATTTGTCTCTGTGGACCGGAACAAGTTTCAACGCCTCTGATGACAAGGCGTAAGAAGTGAAAGAAAAAATTCTTCGCTCTGCGAAAACCTGATAAAATCGGTTATAGAACCTGTAGTTTACTAACATCTCG